TGTCCGTTGTCCGTATTATAGAGGGTCCGTATTATAGAGGTTATTTTTACAAAGAATGTATGGGCATTTTCCCGGGACCAAGTGAACTGTCCGTATTAGAGAGGTGTCCGTAAGGAGAGGTTCGACTGTAAAACAATGCAAAACCGGTAAATTTCCTTCCAACTATAAGGCTAGCCCCATCAATTTTGAGATGCAAATTGCCCTCTGTAGATAAGCCCCTCCAAAAATAAGCCCCTCAAAAAGAGCCTTTGAAGAATGTAAGCCCCAGGGCTTATTTTCAGAATTTTACGGTATTAGTAATAATCAAATATGTCCCCCATCCTAAAATTAGTTTCCTAGACACAAAAAACTGTAATGAAATAAGCACTCTTGTCTAATGAATGTGCCCTTCACAAAGAAAGAACAAATCTGTGCTGAATGGCACCATATTTATAGATACAACAAGATACAACCTTTTGACGCAGCACTTTACGTGTAATAATAAATTATTGTGAACTGCCACACAATAGGCTGATGCTTATCAGCCAAGCTCCATAAACAGCAATGCAAGTGATCATTTTCCCTTTCATGTTTTTTTTTGTATTTTCAGCCACCCCAGCTACTTTTGAAACACCAAGCACCATCCAAGGAACTCCAGCACCATCTCAACCCATCTCAGAAAACAGCAGAGGGACTGCAGAAAACAGCAGCTCAACAGAAAACAATTCAAGTAGTAAAAAAGATGAATCAGATTTCACACTGGACAGGTTCCTTGCAAAGAATACAAGTGAAGACAATGCCTCATTTGAGCAAATCATGGAGACATCTACACAGAAACGCAGAGAGAAGTATCAATGGCTTTATGAAAGAGAGCGGGAACAGAAAGAAAGGAAAGAGGAAATCCTGGCCTTGCCAGCTTCTGAGGAAGGTGATCAGTTTAAGTACGAAGACAGGCCTTCAATGATAGAGACATGGAACTATACGAACAAAAATGCACTTATGTATTATCCAGATGGGGTGGAAGCATCGGTGCAAGAAAAAATTGAGGGCAAGTACATCAAAAGACAACAGATATTGCATGCTAACAGCAGGTTTAAGAGGGATCCATTTCCTGAGGATTCTTGTGAGGACAAACTAGCAGCTGCTGCTGCGACTCGCTTAGCTGCCCAGCAAGGAAGGATTGGAGTGGATGGGCAAGTTCAGGGAAGCAATGAAACACCTAATGTTAAGGGGTATGGATTTGTGGCCACACCCTCTCCTGCTCCAGGTATTTACATTCATTAATCTTAATCCTTAAAGTCACATTATTCACATACAAACTCTCCATACATTTCCTTGAAGAATTAGANGCCCAGCAAGGAAGGATTGGAGTGGATGGGCAAGTTCAGGGAAGCAATGAAACACCTAATGTTAAGGGGTATGGATTTGTGGCCACACCCTCTCCTGCTCCAGGTATTTACATTCATTAATCTTAATCCTTAAAGTCACATTATTCACATACAAACTCTCCATACATTTCCTTGAAGAATTAGATGAGAGAATTTGGAAAAAGATCAAAGCCTTTTTCCCTTGGTGATCATTATATTATTTTGTTGTGATAACCTCTTCTCTGGATGATGTATAGATATTGTTAAGAGAAAAAATAATTTTATGAGTTGTAGAGTAATATTCTGATTCTCACTGGAACTTAAAATCAAGAGCCCACTGTTACGGGTGGCCATATTGGTTTCAAATGCACCGAGGGGTGAGCCCTTGGCTTAATAGTGGTGGAGGGCGGGGGAGGGAGGTGAGACCTGATACATTTGAAACCAAGGTGGCTGCCCTTAGGGTAGGTTCTCAATCTCGAGATCATACTGAAAAATGGGGGGACTGTGAAAAGTATAAGGTGATTAGTGGTCTGAGAATAGTCGTTAATTTAAAGAGTGGCAATCCTTCTATTTCATGAATATGTACACTGCAAGTTCGTATTTAAGGTCACTGATTTTCTGTCATGTACTTCAGGTGTGGATGCATCACCTCTAATGACTTGGGGAAGCATAGAAGGCACCCCTTTTCGTTTGGATGGGGGAGACACGCCTATTGCCGGCACCCCTGGACCAACATTTAAAATGCCAGAACCAAAGAAACGTGACCAGCTTGGCCTAGCACTAGCAGAGAAGGTTAGCAGACAACACAGAGAAAAACGACGACAAGCTCTAGCAACAGCCACTGCAATGATTGGCAGGTACATTTAAATAATATCATTAGCGTTTATTGTACACAGGCGGCCCATTGCCCGGAGTGAGTTACTCTTCTGTGCCCATGCAAAAGTGTTTTCACAGGCCAGTTCATTTTTAGATTGGTGTTCCTGCACATTTTGCAAATCAAGTAATTCCTTACAGACCAGTTAACAGGTTGGTGTTTTGGTGTTGTCTTTTTTCTTATATCATATGGCAGATGAGACGCACTCATTTATGAGGCAGCACTTCCATTTTCGCGGAAATAGTACGCAAACATGATGTTAAAAATAAACTGACCTGTAGATAGCCGTTGCATTGGCCACAGTATTTTATCACATATCAAACATCACCAAGACCTTAATGACGATCCGCAGAGGAGAATTTTTATAGTGGTGTTTTAACCGATCCAGTACCTGGGCACTGAGAATTATATAGCTTGGTAAGCAGTTGTTTCCATTTTCTATTGGCCTAACAAAAAAGCATGGAAGACGCACGAGGCTTTAAAAAACGATAGACAACAAAAGGAAGGCCTGATATTTTTAGTTCCAGTCTACAACTAAAAGAAACGTGGTCTATCCAACCATAGTCATTAATAGTTCATTTCTAAGGTCCTTTGTTTTTAATTTAATACACTTACTCCATTGATCATACTGGTATTCCTGTTGGGGGAAGATTGCATCAAGCAACTTAACTACATGTAGGTTTTTCCATTGTTCCCGGTGTTGCGAAGAATTTTTTCTCACTTTCTTTGTATTCCCAATATTCCTTAATCTCTTTCTGCCAAGTTATCCGTCAATCCTTGAAGGAAAATCCTCTGGAACAAGTAGAATAATTTATTGCAGAAAATTTGCGCCTAAAGTAATGTTAAACAGTTAAAATTCTTTAAACAACTGTGACCCCGGGTTCCCAAGCAGGTCATGGTTTAGTTACCAAGGGCGCCTAGTTCCATTAAACATAAATTCCGGTTTGAAATTTTGGAAATTTCACGTGGCCAATGGAATGGTACATTCCGGTTGCACAGACCTAACCCAAGCCACCACGCATTTGGTTATTATTCTCGTAAGCAGGATGCAAAAGAGGGGTACTGGGGACAACAATTTTGTCCAATTGAAACGGACATTATGGTCCGACCAACCAAAATGACCAGACCAGTCAAAGTGAACCACCTTCAAAGGCGGTCCCAAATATTCCGGTTGGACCTAACCGAAATGGTCTGCTCCATGTGATTTCTAACTGAAATTTCCAGAATTTTGGGCTGAATGGAAAGTGCTCCAAGTGATGTTCAGTTTGTCTTTATCTTTGTTGCACAGGAGTCCCAAGCATATGAACACGGTTGATCGTTTGGGGCAGATGTCTCCTGCTGCCCAGAGGTTAGCATCTCAGAGACTGGGAATAAGAACGGGAACTGATAAATCTTTAAGAGCAAGTTACACCCCATCACCTGCTCATAGCTTATCAGGGGACACCACACCCGCCTACCATCGAGCTTCAACTCCTGCTACTCCACAGGAGAACAGTTCAACACCATCGAGGAGTGTATCTCTCACAGATAACCTTCTCAGGTTACCAAAACACTGACACAGCCTTCATGAGATGATTGATAATCAAGACATACAATTAAGCTTTTCATTTGGAAAACTTTAACGTGTTAAAACGACTTTCGGCCCATGTTACAACTGACACTACATGATTTCGATGCAAAAGGTGATAGCACGCTGCACGAACAGTAACAGAAAGCATAATAAAAGTTTTCTTGAGTTGATCCCTGGTTTAGTCTTTAAGAGGTGACCAAAATAAATTCAATTGTGTGTATAATTTTGAAATGAGTACAGGTGACTCAACAGACACCCGGCTCTATAGGACGGACACCTCTGCAAAACGCATACTTAAAGTTGGTCCCTACCTTTCTTTACACTCAACTCGTTCTAAGCCGGACACCTTTCGGACCTGCACTAAGTGTCCGCCGTCTTAGAGAGATGTCCTTCTTATAGAAAAACAAATAGGACGAGTAAACAAAGGCAGGGATCAACTGGCAGTAGGTGTCCGTTTTACGGAGGTGTCCGTCTCAAAGAGGTGTCCGTTAAGATAGAGTCGGCTGTACTCCCCGCTTTATTTGTTTCTCTATAAGACGAATATCTCCCCGAATACGGACACTAAGTACCGGTTCCAAAGGTGTCCTGCTTAGAGACAGTCAGACTGTAAAACAAAACCGGGTTTCAACGCCCTAGCTGAGGTTGATTCAAAACATCAGGACAAAATAAGAATGAACTGAGAGAGTGTAAAGTGTTAATGAGTAAAAGCAATGCTTAATTTTATTGTTTCTACCGAAACTTTAATTTTTTCAGATCTGACTCATTGACTCAATGACTCATTGACTCATTTGACTCATAAAACATCCGTTCTCGAACTGAGAAAGCATTAGCGATTAGAACCACAGCTAACGATTGTCGTAAAGAACAAATAAAGAGGAGAAACAGATACCACTATCAAACGCTTTTGCACGCCTCGTTTTATCGCCCTCGCCCGTCCTTAGTACCAGTTTGCTAGCTTAAGAGCGGCTAGGGGGGAAGAATTGTTCTCTAATGGAAAGCACTTTTCTTAAGATATGGACGGTGTTTAGTAGACTGATCTTATTATTATTGTTCACGATGTGCGCAAGTAAACTCATCGAGGTTATCAAGAGTAATCTTCCAGAATTCTTTTTCTGGGTCGTAGCTAGCGATCGCATCGGTTGCAGCGGCGAACATAAGGAAACCAGCTTTTTATTTTCTACACGATAAATATATTGTTCAGTAAGAATTATAGTATCATTTCATTGCTAAATCAGAATTTTTATTTTTAATCTAATAAAACAATTTTTATGCGATAATACATAATTAGGTACATTTTTTAGTTGTCATATGTGAAAAGTTGTCTGAGTATTTAAAGTCGTTAAATGATTACTATATTCATGTTATTATCAATCAAAAGCCGGTTAAAATCGTCCCATTTTGTTTTGGATACTATGTGTTTAACAGTGGTTATAAAGCTTTTGTGTTGCCCGAGGCTTGAAAAAGCAGCTACTTAAGTGGGCTCGACTGGATTTTTTTAGGGGGATACCTCCCAAGTTTGAGCATTAACTACGTCGGTATGAGTAAAGATATGGAAAAAAGGTTACCACAACTGTATTACATAAAGATGAAAATTTCTTATGATCTGGGTTTTATTGCAATCGGAGTCGCCATGGCAACGTAATGACGCCATTACGTTTTTCATTTATCTTTGTGTTTCTCTGTACCAGGAGTTGTTTGAAGAAATCGCTTAAGGGAGTATGTACCTGCCATAATTGCCTCCATTACGGCAAAGTTTGAAGAAATTCTATGAGAGCGTTTTCGAGATATTTCGAAATGCAGTTTTAAGAATCATCAAAACAGTGAAATAGCATGCTAGCCGCACAATTCGCTAATATTTTAAGAAAAATGATAAGCTTTGGGAACGCGGCTTCATCTCATAGTGGATTGATTCCTTTTAAAACTGCATACAAAAAAAGAGGGGAATTGCTCTGGGCGATCGCGAGTATGAAGAATTTTATTAACTTGCATTCAGCTGCTTTTGATACAGTTTTTGGAGGTAATTTTGTCCATGCCTAAACATTTCGCATTTTTCCAAAAACCGCTCGATAAATTTTTTTTATAAATTCGACGATCCCGAGATCAATCGTCAAGAAATATTCCCTGCGAGTTTCAAGAACATTGAAAACAGGGAAGGCTTTTAAATAGGGCCTTAAATGTAGCCAATTTTCCCCCCAGATTTTGTGTTTACAAGTGGGCGTCCTCATTATTCACTGGCATTGTTTTCAAGTTTCATATACACGTGTACATTTAGCAAAAAGATAGAATTTGCATCAAAAAGGACCCTCGGTTAAATCTCCGGGATATGCTAATTACCGGGTAAAGAGGTTAGTGATACATTATAACATCAGAGCAACTCTTTGTGAGAGTTTCTGTGATGTTATAACCCGAGTAAGATAATTAAGTATTGCATCCTACACGATGAGCCGTGACGTTCACCGTTTCGGCTCTCACTGCTATCTGTGACGACAAGCCAATTATTAGCATATACCGGATGTTTCTTCGGAAAGTAATTGAGAGTTCTTTTTGATGCAAATTTATATCTTTGGCTAGTTGTGCACGTGCATATGAAACTTGAAAACAATGCCAGTGAATAATGAGGACGCTCACTTGTAAACACAAAATCTGGGGGGGAAATTGGTTATGTTTGAGTCCCTATTTAAAAGCCTTCCCTGTTTTCAATGTTCTTGAAACTTGCAGGGAATATTTCTTAACGATTGACCTCGGGATTGTCGAATTTATAAAAAAATTTATCGAGCGGTTTTTGAAAAAATGCGAAATGTTTAGGCATGGACCAAATTACCTCCAAAAACTGTATCAAAAGCAGCTGACAGCAAGTTAATAAAATTCTTCTTACTCGCGATCGCGCAGAGCAATTCCCCTCTTTTTTTGTATGCAGTTTGCAATGGAATCAAACCACTATGAGATGAAGCCGCGTTCCCAAAGCTTATCATTTTCTTAAAATATTAGCGAATTGAGCGGCTAGCATACTATTTCACTGCTTTGATGATTCTTAAAACTGCATTTCGAAATATCTCGAAAACGCTCTCATAGAATTTCTTCAAACTTTGCCATAATGGAGGCAATTATGGCAGGTACATACTCCCTTAAGCGATTTCTTCAAAAAACTCCTGGTACAAAGAAACACAACGATAAATGAAAAACGTAATGGCGTCATTACGTTGCCATGGCGACTCTGATTGCAATAAAACCCAGATCATAAGAAATTTTCATCTTTATGTAATACAGTTGTGGTAACCTTTTTTCCATATCTCTACTCATACCGACGTAGTTAATGCTCAAACTTGGGAGGTATCAACCCCAAAAAATCCAGTCGAGCCACCTTAAAACATGTTAAAAGTCAGTCTTGCCTTCGCCCCAGTCTACTTCACCATCACAGTTTCGTCGGTAAAATTCAATCTGTGATGCGTTGCCTTTACATTCGTTAACATCTTCAAAGTGTTCAAAACAGCCAAATTTCAAGGGGACAAAAGGTAAAAACAAAACAAAAGTAAACTAAAGAGAAAATGAAAACAAACAAAACGAAAACAAAATTCAAGGTATTCAACCGTTACCTCAGTCCGTCCACTTAACATTTTTTTTGGGATTCGTTCTGTACTTCCGTTCGTGATGTGTTGCGTTTAAATCTCAAACGCAGTTTTAATTTTTTTAACTCGTTCCTGGTTAATCTCATGCTGTGTACTAAAACGAATTCCAAAGGAAAAAAGTCCAGACATTCCATAGTTAAGTATGGTTGTGATACATTTTGGAGGAAATACTGTGGCAACCTTAAAGCTCAGAAAATATTTGCACAAAATACGATGTACACAGTTGTATAAACTCTCTGAAATATACATTTAAATCACCATAAAATTTCTACGTTTTCTTGCTTAAGTTTGTTTTAATTATTCAGCTGCTTAATTTATCTCATAACATAAAATGTTTAATATATCTCATTGCTATAAGCGAAAAGCCCATTGAGTTTACCAAATACTCTTTTAGCTTGCATATGTCCAACTGCGTGCAACTACCAATCTTTGGAAAATGAAAGTTGCTATTTCAACTGCTGTCCTCCTTCTAGCGATTTCTCCTTTTGCATTTGCACAAAGTGACCTTGAACGCGCAAAACAAGAGTTCACAAGGCTACGAGATGAGTTAACAATCGTTAACAAAATAAGCGACATTCTGTTCCTGCTCGATACCTCTGGTAGTTTGAGCTCCTCTGACTTTGACACTGAAAAGAGATTCGTCATAAACTTTTTGAACACTTTACCTGTCCGCATGCAAGCAGCCAGAGTAGAGGTCATACCTTTTGGTGATATAGCCAGCCTGTATATAGACGGAGTCTCCAATCCCTCTTTGGTCATGAACAAGTGTGCTCTCATTCAAAAGCTAAAACAGATGCCTATCAGCATCAATGGCTTCAAAACGAATACCAAGAGTGCCTTTCAACTCGCTTACGATGTCTGCCTTGGAAAATATAGCGCCAATAAAAGAGGCCCATTGAATAAAGTGAGGACGGTGGTTATTCTCATTACAGACGGAAGGTGGAATTGGCCGTTTCACGATCCCAGCCCCATTCCCATCGCCCAAATGCTGCTTGGAGCAAATGTAGAGGTCTTTGCAATTGGTGTCAGATACTCAATTACACGTGATACACTTCAAAAGGTGGTTAAAGATCCAGCAAAACAAGCATTTATTTTAGGAAACTTCCTGGAGCTTGAAAAACTGTCGCTCTACGTTTCAGGAGGAGTAGGTAAGTGAACAAAATATTTTAATCATATTTAGACCTCGGTGTCTTTTGAGGTCCCGCAAAAGTTTCAAATTGAATAACTTTAAAATAGTTAAAGCTATGACTTTTCCAAAATGTTGTAGGTAAAATTTAATTTACTAGTCGTTACATGTCCTTAAACATTGACGTTATCATGGCAACCGAGCTTTGACAACCATATTTGCCTTTTTTATGTA